AAAAAAAAAAAAAAGACATTATGTATGTCAGCTGTGAACTGTTTTATATAAACTGTAAATTTTGAGTATTGATTTAATCAAAAATAATATTAGGAGGCTTTTGAGAGAGAAAAGTGTATCGCTCTTCTTGTGTGCATATAGAGCATATTTATCTTTTGTTGTAGTTGGTCATTTTTTAAAATGCCATAAATTATAACAGTAACAATTTAAGGTTTTTTTTTTTAGAAGTAAGAAAGTTAGCTGGTCATGGTGGTATATGCCTGTAATCACAGCACTCAGGAGGCTGAGGCAGGAGGGTCACTATGACTCTGAGGCCAGCCTGGGCTACATAATGAACTCAAGGCCAACCTGAACTACAAAGTGAGACCCTGCCTCAAAAAAAAATGTAAACATAGAATTATCATAAAATATCTACAGCCCAAGCTATGTCATTCCCCTCCCCAGGGAAACTAGTGTCACTTCTTATGTGAACTTTGAGGAATATTTCGTGCTTATTCAAGCTGTATGTATTATTTTGACAAAAATAAATTGTATTTTATCTTTTTTCTATCAATTTTTAAAACTTTTATTAGTATACATTTACAGTACATAATGATTACATTTGCTGTAGGAAATTGGGACACGTGTGTAACACACTTGAAATCTTTTTCTTTCCTTTTACCCTCCCAACAAAACTATATACATATTTTTGTTTGTTTGCTTTTTGTTTTTGTCTTTTTGAGACAGGGTCTCCATATCCAGTTCGGGCTGGCCTTCAGCTCACTTTGTAGCTCAGGCTGGCCTCAAACTCACAGTGATCCTCCTGCCTCGGCCTCCCGAGTGCTGGCATTACAGGCCTGTGCCACCATGCCTGGCTCCTTTGCTTTACAGAATAAGGGCTCAGCAAACACAGGGCCTCATGGAGCTATATCCCCAGCCACGACCCTTGTAGTATTTTATACCCTGCCCTGTCCCTTGCTGGCCAGGCATTCACATCTCTGAGCTCAAGGAAAATAGAGACAATAAACCTTCTAGGAGCACTGGCAAGATGAAGTGCACTAGGAAAGTAGACCTTGTTACCACCGTGGCCCCCAGACCTGACTTCCTAGCCTTGACCTCCCAGGCAGTAGCCTGCAGGCAGATGCAGGGTTCCTTCTTGGAAGTTACCCAGGGAGGACATGGCCTTACTAGACAGCCCGCTTGGCACAGGACAATTTAATCTCCTTCCTAGTTCTTGCGTTTCCAGAGTGGGATCATATAGCAGTGCCCGCGGGGCCAGAGTCACTTCAGGCCTTTGCTTTCCTGGAACATGGGTCAGAAACACTCTCCGTGCCTTGAGTCCTTCAACTAAAATACAGAGATCATGCATCCTCATGAGCTGCTGAGCTGAATCATAAGGTGGACATTAAACCCTGGAGCGCCTGTCATAAACTGAGCCACACTTCCCCACCCCCCACCCCCAGCCTGCAACCCAAGAGCGCAGGCAATGTATGAAAGGACGGGTGTCATTCTGTGTCTTTGGGTTTTTGGAGATGGCAAGTAGGATCCAGGAAGCA